GGCAAACGGACGCTAATTTTGATTTGACACTTGTTTTTGTGTTTTTGAGGGGCGTTTGGGAGAAATCGTTCTTATGAATATTTTGTGATATATCATATACCTTTGTTTGCTGAAAGAAGAACTCCTGGCTCCGGAATAACACCTTATTTGGCCCTTCATTCAGCATGATGCCGTCCCTCCAGCTCGTTTGACATGTGCTTTACGGCGCGTGCGAGATGGCGGGAGCGGATGGGGTCAATTGAAACGCTTCTCTGAGGGTCAGTTGAAACAGGGCCACAGGCCGTTTCAATGGACCCCGGCGACCTTTGCAATGGTTATTGTTCAGGGGCTGTAAACATTAAAGGGAATAGTCCACCTTTGAAATGAGCTTTTAAACTGAAATAGTAGTTTAATAGAGCTCAATTTTTGACCCCTTTTTTCTCCAGCCTTTTGCTTGAAAGCACACTATAGCCTGAGATATTTCTCATTTTTCTCATCCGCCCATTTTACCATAGTCTATGTACTTTATCTCACCTATTATGAGGAACTTTGCACTTTTAGCTTTCCAACGACCTATTGAATGTAGCATTTGGAAAAGTAAACCGGACAAAATATATCCTTAAGAAAGTGGCCTTAAAGAGGAAAACATCCCATTGTTAAGGATAGGTGCAGACCCCATGGGCTGGTTCAATTGTCCCTCGCATCGGGGTCATTTGAAACGGGCGTAGAGCTGTTTTATAAGCATGCGTTTGGCAGCAAAATATGTTTGAAACATAACCCGCGCCCCGTTGGGCTCTGCCGAGCAACACGCCCCGTTGGGGGGGGGGGGCATTTTGGCCCCTCCCCCCCTAAGATCTCGAGAACCACGCAACCTAGCGACAAGCGGCAAACGGTGTTGGATAGCCCTATCAGGGAACTACCTTGTGACCCAATTTTATTGACCTAGGTCAAACCGATGACGTCACAGGTCAGGTCAAAGGTCCAATTTTCACCGTTTACAGGCATTTCAAGAAATGCGTTGTAAAATCGAGTAAAATGCATTTCATTGAAAACTATCGATGGGGAAATGTTCTTCAAACACATATTTTGCTATTTGAGGTCACTGATACCAGGTCAGGTCACAGAGGTCAGGTCACTGGGGGGTCACAATATGAAAGTGTCGTGTGATACATGTTTTATGGCCCATTTTACATGACAAATGCGATTATGTGGGTCAGGCAGTCTTTGGGGCCAGCTTAGGTCACGTTTTGGTCAAGGTCAGGTCAAGGTCAGGTCAAGGTCAGGTCAAATTAGGTCAAATTTCAAAATTGATATTTTGCATAAAATGGGTATTGAATCGATGCAGCTCGTCACGGGGAGTTCAATGGTGGTCTTTGTTTTGCCGTACGAGGTCTAAAATCGCTAAAAATTGAGTTCAAAAATTTGACGTCATCGTTTTTGAACAGTTTTTTCGCTATAACTTGGCCAAAAATCGAGATATCGATCTGAAATTTGGTATGTATATAGAAGAGCGCAGGGACTATCACATATATTCCGTTTTTTCGAAATTCGGAAAAATTTTGGTTTTTTTTAGTTTTTTCTAAAAAAATCATTATTTTGAAATTCTTTGGGTCAAAAACCCAAAATTTTGAAAATCCCAGATAGCAGTTATGTAGCGCCGCTTTTTGTCTACTAGACCATATAATGAACTTTGAAATTGCTTGATAACTGTAGATTTGGTGAGCGTTTCAAGATTGCATGTTTTTTGCTCATTTTTGCTCGAACATGACCTCAGTTTGACCTCAATAACTCCTGACCTAAGGTGACCTAAGACTTGAAATTTGGTGTGAAGGTGTCAAATTGATACCCGGGAAGGTACTGAAAATTTGGTGGCGCTGTGCGCCGCCGTTTTCTTGCTATTCAAGAAAAACCACAGGGGGGGGGGGCCAAAATGGCCCCCCCCCCAACGGGGCGAGGGATAATTTTACATATCTAAAAATAAAGCCAAAAGAGCATATTTTTTCATGGCATTGTGCATTTTTCGATATGACAACTCACGACAACTAGATCTCGCTGTGCATGTCAATATATAAAAAGTGGTTCAACTGGCCCCGCTCTCCCCTACCTACCTAAAATGGAGAGGCCGCAAAATTGACCTGACGTTAGGTCAGCGATATCAAAATTCCGAGATAAACATTTCATAGATGATGTTGCTCTTATCAATCGCTGAAAGTTTCAAGATAATCGATCAATCGGTGTAGCTATGACGAGCATTCTTATTTTTCTGAGGTGAGGTCACTTGGCGTGACCTCGTGACCTGACCTAAGGCGACCTGGGTCTGAAATTTTTACAAAATGTGTGGAAAAAAAATGCACAAACAGGTGCGACGAAAACGGCGGCGCTCCGCGCCGACGTTTTTTTTTTAGATATCTGCGAAAAACCGCAGGGGGTTGCTCAAACACCCCCCCCCGCCCGGCGCGGGTTAATTACTGTCCTTGTCCTGTTACAGATAAACAGCGTGCCACAACAGAGCCTTCAAAGTATACCTCTCAGTCTTTCATCGAACGAGATTGTATCCAAAGCATTCAAGGTTGTACATCAAGACACAAATCAGACTAGAATCAATCTCAACAACGCACTTTCACCATCGAACTATCAATATAGTTACTCAGAAACCATCTCATCTTGCTCCTACTGCATCCAAACAGGGGCGCGGGAACTATTTTCAGACTAGGAGGGCACACCATAATAGAGATCAACCTAGGGTACCCCCAAATCTGGTTTTCTCACCGGTTCCAGGCCACTTATTTCTGATCCCTTTGCTTTTTCAAAAAAAAAAAGAATTCATTTGCAAAAAAGTGCGGTATTCCGTCTCGAAGTTGTGGGGGAACCGCCCCCACGGCCCCAGAGTTGGGGGGGGGGCAAGCTGCCCCCACTGCCCCCCCCCCCCCGGCTCCCGCGCTCATGCATCCAAATGACGGGAACAGATCTTATCACGCGCTTGGCATTGAAACTCGCTGAAACCAAGCTCAAACCAAGTCAGTCTCGTGCCGGAGTTTTGCTGGATCGACAATTTTGAAAGTGCAGCGCCCAGCTGATTAAAAGTGGCGTGGCTGCTCTTTTGCTGTGCTGAAGATTCTCCATTAGGACGGAGTGTGATCAATGATCCTAGTGACTGAACAACGTGTGACAGTTTTAGGAATATTCTCAGAGGTGGTGTTTGGAGAAGTTTACCACCTGACGTTGTCATGCGATGGTGGGAGTGATTTGCTGAAGATGTTGGCCTAAAGACGCTGGCTGCTGAACAACGAATCACCCAGACGGATTACGACCTCTTTGTGACCGGAGTGACTAAACCCAAATCCACTAGACAAACGCACCAACAGCCGGCCATCCGACCTCACGAACCACCAATGTCCTCCGGTCCCCAGACGCCACCTCCCTCCCCGCGTACGACGACTACGACATCGCCACCTTCTCCACCTTTCCCAACCTCACCCCCTCCAACATCACACTACTCGCTCCTGAACGTGCCGCTCTTCACACCGTCATCTGCATGACGGTGCTCCACGGCGTCATCTTCTTCGTCAGCGTCTTGGGCAACACCATCACCTGGATCACGATCTTACACAACGGGTCCATACAGACGACCACCAACTACTACCTCTTCAACCTGGCCATCTCCGACCTCCTGCTGCTCGTCACGGGACTGCCGTTCGAGCTGTACTCCTTCTGGAGGCCTCACGGTCAACATGTCTTCGGAGAGGCCTTCTGCGTCTGTGTGCTGAGACCTCCACCAACGCCTCCTTCTATTTCTGACCATCGTCTCCTTCACCGTGGAGAGATACCTCGCCATCTGTCATCCCCTTCTTCAACATACCTTCTCAGGACTAGGGTGGTAGCGTAGTGTACTGGTCACTGGTTAGGGTCCCCGCATCATGTTCCATAGGTCTTGAGTTCGAATCTCTGGGGATTCCGAACTGAAGCGACACCGCTCGTGTGGGCGGTGTCGCTTCTATATGCCCTATTCCCGGCTCTTCAGTTCGAAATCATGTTTCAACGAGATGAAGATGGAAGGATCATCCCCAGTCAAGGCCGCTGCACGGTGGTGCGTGAGGTGTTTCCTCACGTGTTTGAAGCATCTTCGGTGCTGTTTTTCTTCTTGCCGATGTTGATAATCTCTACCTTGATCACTACGTTTCCATGACACGTCTAAATCGAATTAGCGAAATTTCACGTGCATTTTTCGCGGAAACTATTTACCTTATGCCAAAAATGAGCGTATTTATGGTTTTAGCTAGCACCTTATCCTATATTTACATGTTTACATTATGCCTAAATGCTATGATGAAGCAAATCCATTTTTCAAAATCGGCTTAACTTGTGCCATGGAAACGTAGCCAATCACACTATTGTATATCCAGATCGGGTTTAGTGAGGCACCGGTTCGTCACGTGACTCAAAAACAAAACCAGCTGATAGAGGGCCGGAATCAGGACACAAGCACGACAAATATAAGGTGTTCTGGTATTCGAGATGTCTGCAGAATATATGCGAAAATGTTTGAGAAAATGTACTTAACCACCTGCGAGTTTTGTGATGTCAGCACTTGCTCCGTTCTGTGTGTGCCAGCCCTGTTCAAAATTTGGTGCTACATAAATCTGTGACGAATTTGTCAAATTCAACGTCTCCTAAGTTCAGCTAAGCTAGAACAATGTGACATCAGAGACCGCACTAGCAAGTGTAGTGCCAGTGTCACGTGACCCTATGTGGTGATCACCGCCACGTAACAATCCCTCCGTAACCTCTATCGTACCGGTATAGCCGCTCCTACGTAACCACCCCTACGTAACCGCCGCCACAGCTCCGCTTATAATATGTAGCCGGGTGTAAATGTAAGTACCGACAGTTACCGCGTGTGTTTATCCTCCTGGTCTCTCGTAATCAGCTGATACACGGGACAATAACCCACCCGACCCTACATATACAAAGGGGATTATTATACTCCCACATGTACAAAGGGGATCATTATACTCCCGGTGTTATGTCACTGCCGTTACTGTATTACAGATATAAAGCAGGCACTTTTGGTGATCATACACACGAACATGGCATATAAACACGTAAACAAATACTCCAAGGACATTAGCTAGTTGTAACTGGCTACTAAGCTACCAATAACATCGATATCTGGAGTTGCATTAGGCAAACAGAGTCAAGAGAAAGAATGTAGGTATCCAAATCAGCGCAGCCGCGCGGCACAAGCAAAGTTCATCAATACCATTCGTCACCGATAATTCAGACACAATCCGATGCACAAACGTCTTGATCTCCGCACGTGTACAAAATATTACCTATAAAAGCTGCATAGCTGTGTTTATCGTTCAATATGTACATAGATGAACATCTAAACCTACATAAAATTTGTTCCAAACGCAGTGCATCAGTTCGCTGACGAACTTCTACAAAGCAGCTCGCACGTAGGACCTTACGATACATGCAATGTGCAATCTCCAGCAATGATATTTCACACAATTCATTCGAAAGAAAGTAAACACCGCACAGTGCGTCATCCGCTCTCGATAGAGTCCACAGATAAACCAATGTGTTGGGTTCAGTGGTATGGCGCACTGTGGAACCACACACACAAATTCCTGGTCCATATTTCACGCCTCACTTGTAATGTAATGTATCACGCCATTACATTCACATCTTGTCCTTCTACCTGTATATAAAGCATACACGAGATGTCCATGGACTTTTTCAAACAAGTATAATGTTATAAATCAGCGTAGTTTTGATCGGAATAATTGTGTTCGACCCCACCGTGTTCACCCGGTGCACGCTGGTGCTGAAGGAGCGCAGCTTCACCCGCTCCCAGTTGGGGATAAAGCCCGGCCGACTGTCGTCCCATTAGTCCGTCATATTCTCGGATCCTTCCAATCCAAGGGTAAACAAGTCTGCCGGTACCGGGTGGAGTATGACGTCATACGGGGACAAAATATGACATGACATGAAATATGATGTTTTTCGTACTCCAGCCGTATGGCTACCCATCTACGCTGGAGTACGAAAAACATCTCACGCTCTCAGTCCCAGCGGATAAAAAACAGCACCTAAGAATAGGTACCTTCTTTTGTCTCACATCACCTGGAAGGCCAAATTTGTGCTCAATGTGTTCTTTGGACATTTTATTTTAAATTCCATCCCTCAAATTCATTCACTTATGATCGGACTCCCAGCTAGGAAGTGATTTGTGAAGCAACTGCAAATGGGGCATTTTGCCCCAACCCCAGGGCAAAACGCCCCACGGCCTGAGGCAAGAAGCCCCATACACTAGATTAAAGATTGAACATGGTAGTTGGCTAAATCTTATATGAGAGGTCCGTTAGACCGCTGGAGGCACGGCACTGAAGGTAACACCTTCCATCCTATCAAGTGTTCAGCTATGACACCATTGTATGACCAGGTTTTTCACCTGCCTCATAAGGCCGAATAATAAATTATTGCAATGCAAATCAGATAACAATATACTTCCTTTGCCATACAGTTGCTGAGAAAAATACATATAAATGCATAGAAACTTGTTGTTCGCCAGCTACCGAACATTAGGAAGTGGGTAGTCCGAACAACACATGAGGTAAAACGCCCCATGGGGCTTTTTGCCCCGCGACCTACTGGGGCGTTTTACCCCATTACGTAGTTGGGTCAGCGAACAACGCCTTGCGCTCCAGCAAGACATATAATTTAACACGAACCAACCCGGCATCATAAGCGTTAGACAACAGTTGTTCAAAATACATAAAAGTTGTTAACCTGATGTGGACCACAAAAGAACGCGATGATGTATAATCAGACAACCAAACATTAAAATCACTCAACAAACACATTTAGGGGCTATATCTCCTTAGAGAATTATCACAATTTCTTTCCAGTCTGCCCATATAATGATCATATTTAACAGAAGAGAGGATCTTTCCCCAGAACCCTGCCAGTTCCGAGAAACATCAGTGAGGCGTTTTACCTCGGCGGGGCGACTTGCCCCGGTCTACCCTACGTGTGGACAAAAGTACGTCACGGACAAAAGTACGTATAGCAAATGCACGTAGGGTATTAAGTACGTACCCCACCCTTGGGTTAAGTTGATCAATGTGTAATACCTTTCTCATTCTTTATTTAATGAGCATTTGTTACAAGGCATAGCAAAATTTATCGATGAGTAAATGGGCGAAATGGACAAAGCTATATTATTTGGTATATGAATTTATCATAAGTTCCATGTTAGTATGCCAACAGAGCAGCAATAAAGAAAAAGTGGCTCAACTTACACTACTATACCCTACTTCTAGCATACGTACTTTATACACTACCTTCTTTGGCATACGAACCGTACGCACTTTTGGCATACGTACTTTTTACACTACGTATTTTTGCATACGAACATTTGCGTACGTACTTTTGGCATACGTACGTTATACACTACGTACTTTTGCATACGTACTTTTGCATATGTACTTTTGCGTACGAACATTTGCGTACGTACTTTTGGCATACGTACTTTATACACTACGTACTTTTGCATACGAACTTTTGCGTACGAACATTTGCGTACGTACTTTTGGCATGCGTACATTTTACACTACGTACTTTAGAGTACGTACTTTTGCGTACGAACTTTCGCTTACGTACTTTTGGCATACGTACTTTATGCACTACGTACTTTTTCACACGTACTTTTGCGTACGAACATTTCCGTACGTATTTTTGACATACGTACTTTATGCACTACGTACTTTTGCATACGTACTTTTGCGTACGAACATTTGCGTTCGTACTTTTGGCATACGAACTTTATCGCCTACGTATATTTGCGTACGAACATTTGCATACGTACTTTTGTCCTACGTACTTTAGCGATACGTACTTTAGTCCTAAAATCCCATGGAACATAACTTACTGAGGATAACTGCTGTAGGCGCATTCTGAGTCGGCGTGGTATTTTCGAATGATACCCCTAGGCAAGCTGACAGACTTTGATGCTGCTGGTGAACGGTGGCTTTTTTAGCTTCTCATAGACAGATGCTGTGGATCAGAAGAAGAAATAGGGCGAGGTTTGGAGTGAAAGAAGTTACCTATATAAGCAGACAAGATGGTCGAAGATAGCTAGACTTTTCAAATACATATTATATTTGGAACACGATTTCTCACAACATAAATTCAAACATGTGATGTGTCACAATGCGCAAGTATGATCCAACGTCACACATGACTCTAACGTAAATGTGTGATGTGACGACGTCTCACCGGGACACAAACAGCACATACGCGGGTTATGATGTCACATGCAGTGAGCACAGCATTACCACCTACAGCCAGGCACCAGTGGTTATGTTTGCTGTCCATTTATTACAACGAGAACAGTACACTATACTGATTTCTTGTCTACATTTTTGCTCAATCAAAGGTTATACAAAAATTAGCAACATAGCCAATAACCTCCAGTTGTTTTCAATTGCACTACCTACACTAATTACACTAAGAGTCACTTTCACATTGTGTGTGTCATTGTAAACAAAATGCACACAATGGAGCTCTAATAACACAAGACAACGATATATCCGACATGCATATTGCACAATGCAAATCGCCTACAGCCAGTGGTGTCACATAGTTAACCCTCGCCGGCCGAGGGGGGGGGGGCGGGTGCCGCCCCCCCCCCATAGGGTTTTTTCGCGATAGCTCCGAACACGCTGGCGATAGAAAGCTGAAACTTGGCATACCTGACCTTTGATCCAAGCCGGATCTTTTGACACCAACCGCATTTTTGAGTCAGGTCAGGTCACTGACCTATGACGCCATAAGTGAACCTCTGCACGGTCTTCAGATGTCGCAACTTCGCAACGCCCTCACTGCCAGAGGAGATGTCACAGGGAAATGAAACTTGCAGGATCTAGTATCCATTATGAGTCCCACAACTTGTATATCTCGGATTTTTCTTAAAGGTCATATGAGGTAAGGTCATTTTCGTGACCTCACCATTATAAGTCAATGGGGAAAAATGAAAACTGCTATTCTGGCGCCGGGAACGATCTCCAATTATCTCAAGCACACAGAATCGTGATTTGATGCACTCCTTGCAAGGTTAGATGCGTCACCTTTGCAATGTTGACCTTGCGTGACGTCATTTATGACGTCATCAAGGATATTAGTTTTTCGTGAATAACTCTTGATCAAATTGAGCTAGCGAGTCGGGAAAGCCACCAATGGACTCAGGAAGGCCTGCCGAATCGAATGATATGCGACTTGACCTCTTTCGACCAACTTCGTGACCTGGGGGTGCTGACCTGACCTTGACCTGAGGTCAACACCCCAAGTTGACCTGATCCGGACAAAAAGTATATCATTCGACGCGCCTGGGCAAGGCGAACACGATGCTGCCAAAATCGGCGCTCTGCGGCCGTTTTTTGCGAAGTTATTCGCCAAAAACTGAACCGTACCTTGGGGCACTTGACCTGACCTCAGAGGTCACCGGTTGACCTAGGAACTTAAAATCGGGTACCAATCTCTGCGTCTCGTAACGGCGCACACGCTCGTTTTTTCCGCGACGCGCTAGCTCCACCAGGGGCGAAACGGCGAGGGGGGGTCGTACCCGCCCCCCCCCCCCTCGGCCGGCGCGTATGTAGAAAACCAATAGGTCCGGCGAGGGTTAAGTCAGATTGATGCTTAAAAAATGATGCCACTATGCTGATCATATAAGTTGTGACGTCACATCAGCGTCATGTGCTCATCTCGACCCGTTGAGAGGGTGTACGACAGCGGCTCCTAGAGGCCGGTGGCGCCGAGCCGTCTGTTGTGGAACTGATCAGAGGCGCTGGACGGCGCCGTCACTCACCTGGGACCCCAAACCTCAGTGCTCTCGGCGTGCCGTCATCTCTTTTCCCCAGGTCTGCCCGGACCAGGGCGTCCAGGACCGACTGACTGAGCTCCTTCGTTGCGTGAAAAATCAGCCACTCCAGCCTCCGACAGGTAACCACCAGTCTGCGACAGCACAGGACACAGGCCAGTCAGCGACACCAGTCGCCCGACCGGCCGTCTGGAAGGGACGGGTCCGGTCTCCACAGGGCCAGTTCAAGTCCGGTCCGGTCCGGATAAGGTTCGGCGTTCGGGTCCGGTCTGAGACTGGGGTAGATGCGGTAGGTAGCGTGCTAGCTGTTATTGGATTACGTGCATATACCTATGTATCCCGGCAGGCGGTGGGCCTACCAGCCACCTTCCGCGCGGGGGGGGGGGGGCACTTTTTTGCCCCCCCCCCGTATCTCCGAAACTACTGGACGGATCCGGAAAATTCAAACGGCGTTCGATAGCCCTGTCAAATTTGTCGAGAGAAACCAAATTTCATTGACCTCAGGGTCACCAATGACGTCACAGGTCAGGTCAAAGATAAAATGTTTCACCGTTCACGGGGCTTCTAGGGAAAGCGCTATAACACCGAGTAAAACGCATTTTGTCAAAAATCAGCGATAAGGCGTCAGTTGTCTAGTACATATGTTGCTATTAGAGGTCACTGGTCATACCAGGTCAGGTCACAGGTCAGGTCACCGAAGGTCACCAAGGGTCACCACATGAGCCCAACTTTACTAAGGTTATGCGATGCATGTTTTATGGCCAGTTTTTCATTTCCAACTCAATGGTGTTGGTTATAAGACCATCAGGTACGGTTTAGGTCACTTTCTGGTGGAGGTCAGGTCAAGGTCAGGTCAAAAAAGGTCAAATTTTAAAGTTGATATTTTTGCATAAAATGGGTATCGATTCGATGCAACTCGTCACGGGGAGTCTAATGGTGGTCTTTGTTTTGCGCTACGAGGTCTAAAATTGCTAAAAATTGAGTTTGAAAATTTGACGTCATCAATTTTGAACAGTTTTTTCACTATAACTTGGCCAAAAAAAGAGGTATCGATCTCAAATTTGGTATGTAGATAGAAGGCGGTAGGGGCTATCACATATATTCCGTTTTTTTTCGAAATTCAAAAAACTTTTTGGATTTTTTAGGCTATTATATTCAAAAAATCTATTTTTTGATTTTTAGGGGTCAAAATCCAAAGAATTCGAAAACCGAAATAGCAGTTTTGTAGCCCTTTTAATTTCACACCTTTTATGTCCGACTTATTTTTCTGTATCTCTAAAGCTGTAGGCCTGACAGCTCTTCCCGCGAAACCTTTTTTTGAGTCGGAAATGGCAAAAATGACGTCACTCTGACGTCATTAGCGGCCAACCTATCATAGCCTTTGAAAAAAAAATTTGGTCACCATGTGCGCTAGCTGCTCCCGGGAGGGTGCTGAAAGTTTGGTGACGATCGGCGCAGCGGTTCTCGAGATATATCGAAAAAACTAAAGGGGGGGCAAAAAAAATGCCCCCCCCCCACCGCCTGGAAGGGTATGGCTATAGCCATATGCATTGTGCACGTAATCCATACACCCATTAGACCTATGTAATATGTATACCGATTTTTATGATACAACATTGGTTGCGCTATGTACATTTATACAATAACTGCTTTTGTTATAGCCACAATACATAGCCCTAACATACATACAGACCATGCATGCTTGTTTGTACTGGTCTTGGTCTGGTCTAGGTCTGGTCTGGGTCTGGGTCTGGTCTGGGTCTGGGTCTGGTCTGGGTCTGGGTCTGGTCTGGGTCTGGGTCTGGGTCTGGGTCTGGTCTGCAGGTCTGGTCTGGGCATGTGGTTTAGTCTGGTCTGGTCTGGTCTGGTCTGGTCTGGGTCTGCTCTGTGTCTGGTCTGTGTCTGGGTCTGGTCTGAGTGTACAGCCGACTGACCTGCTGACCGCTGTGACCGGTACATCCGTACAGAGTTCCCTGGTCGTTCCCAGCTGCATTGTACGCAGCTGGGAGCAGCCGTGGAGGGCGGCCAGTGAGGCGTCAGTGATTGCGCCGGACAAAGAGCCGTCAAGTGTGACGTCTTCCAGGCCGGTGAGGGCGGACAGCAGCCTCTGTAGGGCCCCGGCAGTGACACGCAGGCAGTCTGGGAAACACAGGCACATACAGACATGGTAGGTGAATGGTGTGGGAAATGACAGATATTATGCATGCTAGTGTGTTGCGCATATAGCACAATACGTCATCGGCCCAGTCAATAGCATTATGAGTGAAATGCCATCTTAACATACTCGAGGGCAGCGCTTTTCGAGGAGCGCTGTGGCCCGAAGGTTTGGACTTTGAATTGTGAAAAACGCCCGTCCGCCGCAAAACGCAAACACCGCAAAACGCGCAAAACGCACGCCCGAAACGGCAACGCAAATGTCGCAAAAATAAACAAACGCCCGCCCGCCGCAAACCGCAAAAGAAACGCAAAAACGCCGCAAAACATCAAAACAGCCCGCATCGCACGCCCGCTGACCGCCAACCGAAAACGCCTAAAATCGCCCGCCCGCCGCCAAAAGCAAACACCGCAAAAAAAAAACGAAAAAGCGGCCGCCAACCGCAAACAAATTTAACACCGCAAACGACGCAAAAAAAAAGAAAACCGCCCGCATCAACCGCCCGCCGCCAAAGACAAACACCGCAAAAAAAAAACACAAAACGCCCGCCCGCCGCAAAACGTAAACACCGCAAAACGTGCAAAACGCACGCCCGAAACGCCAACGCAAACAGCGAAAAAAATCGTCCGACCGCCGCAACCCACACAAAAAAAAAAACGCCGAAACGCCGAAAAAATAAAACCGCCCGCACCGCACCGACGCTAACTGCTAACCGAAAACGACTAAAAGTCGCCCGCCAGCCGCCAAACGCAAACACCGCAAATAAGCGCCCGGCCGCAGCAAGATAATAATTTATCAACGACTGGCATACCGTTAGGTTGGTCATTTTCGTAAATCAAAAAGATATCTGCAAAAATCTCCTAGATGAAAGTGCCCGAGTAAAAAACGGATGGCACGTGCGTGTTGCTCGCCCCCAACTTCCTCTAGGTCAATCGCCATTTGGGTCACCCACTGGCGGATCCAGGGGGGGGGGCATTAGGGGCATATGCCCCCCCCCCCGGACAGGAGCCTGGGGAGGGCATTCAGTACAAGTATGCCCCCCCCGTTCAGACTTACACTTCTTACGCCTATAACGAGGAACTAAATAAAAATGGATTAGTAATCCTTCCTAGTAACTACTTTTGTGATCAGAGTCGTTTTAGTAGCCTCAATTTAGTTGTCATTGCTTTATTTTGTAAGTATGTTGCTTCTTAGTTCTTACCACAGGGGAGTCATGCCGCTTCAACACTTTTGACCGTATTGTCTAACGATGGCACTCATATTGCGCAAACCAGGTATCGGCCGCCGCCTATTCTTGAGAATAGGGACGGTTAGAATATGATTTACCTTTATCAGTATGGCCGCAGCCAGTGCAGCGTAACCGGGGGGAGGGGGGCACAAGGGGCGCGTGCCGCCTCATTAGATGCATGGTGCCCTAAGGGCCCGAGAGGCCCTGCAGTGCCAATTGGCCGCTCAGGGTCCAAGCATGCCTTATTTCGACTGAGATAAGACCCGCAGGACTCGTGAGAGCACCTCACGGAGTCACGGCCTCCTGAGTCGCCACACATCTCCATAAGGGCCCCACTCCGGCTTCTGAGGGCCCTGTGCTGACCTCTGAGTGACCTTGCTGACCCATTAAGCGTCAGCTCAGCTTTAATTAGGGTCCTGACCCATACCCGCATGGAACGGCTCCACACCAGTGCCTCTGAGGGCCCATAACGGCGCCTGTGAGGGTCTCACACTGGCGCCTTTGAGGGCCCAACACCGCCAATCTGAGGGACTAACACCAATATTTCTTGAGGCCCTACATCGGCGGCCGCTCTGAGGGCCCCACACTGGCGCCTCTGAAGGTCTTACACAGGCGCATCTGACGGCTACCTACCTGCAACTCTGTGGGCCCCACACTGGTGACTCTGAGGGCTCCCAGTGACGCCTGAGAGTACCACGCCGGTCTCCTGGATCCCACAGGGCTCCTGAAGGCCTCTGCTGGCCCTTGCTGGTCTCTTGAAGACCCCTTGCCCCCATGCATGTGTCTCTGAGGAGTGAGGACTCCCACAACGATGCCTTTGAAAGTCTTCACCGGCGACTGAGAGGGCACCACACAGACACGTCTGAGGGCCCTACACCGCCACCTCTGACACACCAGTGTCCCCTGAGGTCCCACATATGTTGGGATATTGTGACCGCGGACCGGCCGCGTGGGGCCGTGGAACAGGATGGGTCGGCGGCCCGGCCGTCCGGCCGGCGAGCCGCCTGACCGCCGAGAGTCACCGCGCATGCGCTCTGTGCCGTGGTTATATAAGGGCGCGACCGTGACCGGACTGGGTCAGTCGGCGGGTCGCCGTGTCCGTGCTTGGTCCTCGGTCGCTGGAAGCACAATACACAGTGTCGTGCAGTGTTCGCCACGGGCCCCAAAATCCCCAGCCCAGCCCGGCCCGGGCCCATGAGTTCAGAGCCCGGCCCAGCCCGTAGCCCACTCTTGGCAAATATGTCCAAGCCCAGCCCGGCCCGGCCCGTCAAAAATAGCAATCTAGTTATTGTCTTAGTCTATTGCTAAAATAAGCATGATTGATTACACTATTTTGAGAACAATTCAAATTGCATGAATATTAACATGGCAATCATATTCATGACTCCCTTCTTTTCAATGAATATAATCATTTCAAGTACCTATGGCACAAATTTTAACAGTAACAGCAAGCACCTCAGTCAATTAGGTCATGATTACACACCTATAAAAAGTTTACATGATTATATTAACTACATTCTATGAGTAAAGTTATCTTGCAAGCTGATGTGTGTGAACATTATCATTCATAATTGGTGACTCTAATGCATACTTGAAGGAAGTATTTCCAACTTACTCTATACTTCCCAGCACTTACCAGCAGAAAAAAGCTTGACTTATGGGAATTGATGAATCTGTCTTGGTCTGGGATTGACCTTGCTGTTAAATTCACTCCATTGATGCTGCAATATCACAAGCCTGAGAAAGCATACAAAATAGGTGACACTAGCTTTAGCACTGTCTTCCAAAAAAGAGAAAATCCATCCATTTATCAGCAAAACTGATTTAATCTATTTTCAATTCATGCCCACGTGTCAACCGAATCTCTGTGGACAACTATCTGCTGCTTTCCTTGCTATTTTATGTTAGGCTCTTTTCAAGATATGGATATCGCTAGCAGGGTAAACAGAAAACATGGTAAGCTTGAAATGTCATTGGGTACTTTTGCGACTTTTACGCATCATCATCATCAATCGAAAATGAGCGAACACTTCTTGATTGTCGCAGCTGCGGCAAATAGCGATTCTGACCAATTGTATAATAAAACATATATGATCAAGTTTTTATTTTGTTTTCATTCGAGTTTTAAGACTTCGTGATTAAAGTTTAATTTTTTATTTGTTTTACTTTGTTTTTCACCTAGATACTTATTTAAAAAACGTATTTATTTGATATACTGTTTTGTATACTACCTAGATGCCGCCACATAATCATAGCGCCGCCGCCATGATCGCAAATTTTGTTGAGAAGGGGCTGGTTTGTTGTGATTTATTTTGACAAATTTATGGACATTTAAAGAAGCTTTCATCGCGAAATACTCTGTAGAATTCCTCGTTACTTACAGTGTGTTTTGTGAGTATCTTTTTAAGGTTCTGTTCGTTAAAAAGCCGTCGGTGAAGGAAAAAAGACTGTGTTGGAATTGTCTCACTATCGCCATATATAAGTGTTAAACTTAATGTAGCCCTGTAGCCCATCATTGTTGAGTGGCTTCTTAGTTTTTGGAGTTGTAGTGCTAAGTAAGTTATTCTGATAACTACATTTTAACTTTTATTAACAAACTAATGATGCTAGGCTAGAGATTCTCTGATCTTTTTGGTTGCGGAATTTTTGTTAAAACCCTCCTATGTGTGACATGATGTGATATTGGATAATTCTCAGGATTCCCAAAATTCAATATCAAGTAGGTTTTCTTTCACATTGCTTAAATTTGGTTTAGTTTTTGTATTTTCCCTGTGGGTTTTGTTTGCATCAGTTTCCAGATTTTCTTAAATTGACATTAGTCGCAAAACCCATAGTCCACAAAGCTCTTGGCCCGGCCCGTCCATAGCCCGTTAACTAATGATATTTGGGGGCCCGGCCCAGCCCGTAGCCCAGCCCGGCCCATGGCCCGTTGGGCTGGCCCGGCCCGTGGCGAACACTGGTGTCGTGGTATATGCAGCTTTACTTGGCCCTAACATATTTTGGCGCGGTCGGTAGGACCAATAACGTAAATGGGCTGCATATGAGTTTTTAAGAAAGAAGATTGCTGTGAGAGTTCTGTGACGGCCTGCGCAAGCTCACGGTGGAAAAAGTGGACGGAGCCGGTGAGTAGAGACTTTGGGTGATGAGAGGTTCTCTCCAGTAGAGTTCAGTATAACAAACTATGGATTTATCTACCATTTTCCTTTCAAGAGCCTCGAAATTTAGTGGAGAGTCGGGGGAAGTGTGGCAGAAATGGTTCCGCCGATTCGAAGCTCAGACGGCGAGCATGAAAGCCGGGGACCGGCTGGCGGCTATGGTGGGTCTTTTGGACGGAGTCGCACTGGACACATTCGCGTCACTCACCGAAGAGTCACGGAAGGACTACGGCAGGGTGGTTGAAGCGCTGAAAAGTCGGTTCGGTCGGCAAATAAGCACGTTGCAGGCTCATGCCGAACTCAACCGAGTTTGCCAGTCACCTTCGGAGTCTGTTGAAGACTTCTCAGCCAGGATCAGAGAGCTGAGTGGGCTAGCCCAGCCGGCTCTGCCCAGCGATCACAGCGCTATGGAGGGATTCCAGTGCGGCCGATTCATCTGTGGCCTCCGTGACACGCAATTGCAAGAGAGGTTAATCAGCCAAAACGTATCCACACTGACTGACGCGGTACGCGTTAGTAAAGAACTCGAGGAGACGAGGAAGACGATCAAGGCAGTGCGAAATCATGAGATCGACGTCATCGGGGCGGTCCGCCCGGTCGG